TGCTCGACTAGGAGATACCCTGAACCCTCCAAGCTGATATTCTAATCATTCTGCACTTCTTTTACATACATACACATGCACTTATAAGCACGCGCTCTGCTAACTGCGCAGTAAGCAGCGACTACGCTTGGGCTGCGCTGCAATGTGCAATATTATGACAATTTATTTGTTGAATAATTTCTTTTGTAGACATAAGGTTAAAATGTGTGTACATTCCAAAGCACAAGTCTCTAGTACTTGAAATGCGTTTTTTACAAATTTGGGGCGAAGGGGGCGTGGTATCCAAAATCTGTAAATTAAAAAATCTTTGTAACGATTAACTTTATATACAACGCAAATTTGAAGACTCCAGGTTTAAAAGTGTTCAAACTAGGCTGAAAAAACCAAGTCGATTTTTCGATTATTCTCGATAAAAAAGTTATCGGATGAGTTATCGAAAAAATAATGCAAACTCGTACTGCCTATGGTATACACGAGTATGCATGCCAAATTTCAGCTCTCTAGCTCTTATATCTTCTGAGATCCTTTTGCTCATACGGACGGACAGACCGACAGGGCTATATCGACTCAGCTCGTCGTCCTGATCAAGAATATATATACTTTATGGGGTCTGCGATGATTCCTTCTGCCTGTTACATACTTTTCACAAAACCATTATACCCTGATTTCCCATTTTCAATGGGTTCAGGGTATAATAATATTCACGGTAAAAGCTTGTCTGGGACTAGAATTTTCGTTGCAATAACCGGATGGACGCTATAAGTGAAAGGGGTGGGGGCGTGGCTCTATTTTAAAAATAAAAAATCCGAAATTATAAAAAAGTCGTAATAGTATGTAGGCTTCTATTTCTTCAGGGACAATTAATGCCAATTATTCGGGCTTTTTACCCATAGTGCACTGTAGCCAATGTGTGTTTATTCTTGCATCCCTATGTTTTTCTGTGTGTGTGTTTCTTGTGTGTTCTTTCTTGTAGAAAGACGGGAAGAATTATTGTGAAATATCAGCTCTTCGAAGGGTTCAGGCGATTTCGTAGTCGAGCACTCTCGACTAGAGCTTTCCGACTTGTTTCTAGTTAAGGTTGCAGCGTAGAGCATAGGTGATATGGTTTTAATGTTGTTTCGATAATGAAATGAAATTAAAATATTGATATGTATGTATTAATGTAGTGTGACATTAATTGTCAATTGGATGTAGAATGGCTCTGGTAGGGCGCTCTTGTTATTTTACAAAATCGCAAATCAAATGACTTTAGCATTCCTAACACGCAAAACATACTCTAATTTTATATAAGTATATTTTGTGATTACAGAATTTTACATTTTAATCTGCACTTGTACGTTTGGATAAATGCAAAGATCTATTCAGCTATGACTCTTGATCAATAATAAATTTATATTCACTTTAACTATAAAACTTTTTAAATTTTGAATGAATATAAAACTCAGATTAAAAGTCACCAACCCATAAAAACTTTAATCTGAAATAATTGTCATTAAACTCAATAAAACATCTGAAATGAATTATTTCAACATATTTTTAAACAAACCATTTACGATTCAAATAATCAGTTATAACGGCATAATCCATGGACAATGCATTAATTCAAATAAATTATAATTATTGAATAAATGCAAGCCACATATCTTTCGACAACATGTGCTTGACGAGGGCTCTCGACTTTAGTGACGCTGTCATTCGAGCCATGATAAATGAATAGTTGATAAGGGCACACAAATAATGTACTGAGCGAACCATAACAAGTAAGCACGTTGCAGTCGGGCGTTACCGACTGCGCAATGCTCATTCACATCCCATCAGCAATTTAGCTAAGTTTCGTTCTAATACTCTAGAAAATGCACCTCATTTTTGGTCAGTTCTTAGAACAAGATAACGGTACCCTAACTACCAAATTTGATTGCTTACGCTAAAAAAATGTGAAAATTACAGGGTATTTTTCGATATGCCATGACTCGTCGATAGAGGAGGTTACTAGTAACATAACTATCTAAATTTGATGCTTCTAGCTATTATACTTTAGGACATATAAACATTTGCGGTTTGCCACGCCCCCTGTGGGCGGACATATATCCGACAAAGCTTTATGGTCTTGGGTGGTCAGCCCGAGTATATATACAAAATTTGAGGTCTCTGGCATCAATAGTGTCCAAAATATAGCAGAATTTAAAAAATCACTATATCTTCAGGTCGGATTTACCACGCCCTTAATGGGCGTAGATATATAATTTTGTCAGTAGACTTTATAGAATCATAACATTCGCTTACGTGCAATTTCAACGTTCTAGCTGTAAAACTCTTGGAGATAGAGTTTTATCCGATTTGCCACGCCCCCAATGGGCGTATATATATCCGCCATAGCTCGTTATTTTGGGTGGTCGATGCGGATCTACATTCCAAATTAGAGCATTTTATCTATTCAACTAATATGATTTGTAGCATTTCGGAAAATGCATTTTTCGACATTCCAAGCCCCTAGTGGGCGGATCGGGAAAATTTTAACACTTTATAAGTCGGAGATATACACGAGTATGTGTTCCAAATTTCTAGCTTCAATAGCGCCGAAATAAATTGCGTTCGTACGGACGGACAGAAAGAGATCAATATACTAATTCACTTTCGTGAATGAGTATAAAAACAACAAAGCGAAAAGCAATACAAATATTCAACAGAAATTGGGAGATCCAAGAAGACGAGTGAGCCGGACACACGTGCATAGAAAAATGCTACGACTACCTGCAACGACTACCCCTCTAAGGGAATGGAATGTGTGTACATGAATGTATGTATATATACATATGTATGTGTGTATATTCATTGCTAAATCGTCTATTGCCAAGGGTTGATTCTTTAACATTCAAACCAATTTACAATTTGATACGTGCAGTCAGTTGTGAAATTAACTGTAATACCTCACATTATATTATATTGTGACTGAGAAGCCCAATGTGGTTAAGCAATAACTATCTAAAAACTGATCCGATTTTCTAGTCCCCCATCACGCCGTGGACATATCATTTTTGTGGAATATATAGGGTATATTATTAATATTGGAGCACCACTAATTGATTTCAATTTCATAGCCCTCAAATGTTAAAAGATGTTGATTGTTTGTTTGCTACGCCCTCTAAATGTACAGCATAATATTTATATTTTATCTTGGATTGTCAACACAAGTATGTATTAAATGATAATATATATCATCTGAAAAAATCGAGAGTACATATTTCTTGTACATATTCCCTATGGCTTCAGTCGGATGGGCATTGCTATACGTATACTCTTTCACTTCATACAATATTTATCTGACCAAAAGTTTAAAACATTGACAGTGATGCTGTGAAAGGCTGGCCTTATGTTATATGTTTGTAAGATTTTCAAGATTTAAAATGATTCGCATTATAATATGCAAATACATTTAGATATTTGTTTACATTTTTACCTGCATACGCTATTAAACCTCAGCAAGGGCCGCCAAAAAATTTATCAGAATAACAAATAACAGAGCCGAAACCTTTTCTTGGCTACCTGTTCCTTCGCCCTTGAGCTGAAAACCAGTTCTCGATCCAAACATGTTACTGCCAGTGCACTGTCAACGGTTGTTTTGCTTTCTTTGATAATTCTAAAGCAGTGCCAGAACATTCTCATATTTCATTGAAACAGGTAGGGACTACACATAAGAAACGAGCCTAACCCTACCTACCATTCAAGCTGGGATCGTCTTATATGACTTGCATGATCCGTATACTGTACTTTTTATACCCTGAACCCAAAATGGGAGATCAGGGTATAATGGTTTTGTTCAAATGTATGTAACAGGCAAAAGGAGGCGTGTCAGACCCCATAAAGTATATATGTTCTTGATCAGAACGACAGGTTGAGTCGATTTAACGATATTACGCGCTGTTAGATAACTACTCCTGTATTTGTTATCGATTAAAAACCTTTTCGAAAACTAGTGAAAAAATGATATCTCCTAAATCTTCTCAGCTGAGTCCTCAAATGTTAAATATAGGTTTTTATGCATATATGCATATAAATATGTAGTATATATCCCAAATTTATTTCAATATAGAGTAGTAATTTTTTAGGCTTAGGACGTAAGAAATACATAAACATTGATATATAGAGCTACGAATTTGTAAATTTCAATGCATTTATTAAATTTTTAATAATATAAATAAACATATGAAATTCAACAAATTCGAAAGATACAGTCGGGAGACCCCGACCAACCGGTGTATTTCCATGGCTTATACCTATTCACAGATATATATTCAACACAAATATAATGTAACACATGTACACATATACATATATAAATTTGGTAAAAATACCAACACTTTCAAATTTTTATTATAATTGCACTATCATATAATACAATAATATATCATAATAATATAATATAAATAAATAATATTAAGTTCGATAATGTTTTTAATATATTAATGTGAGGTGGGCTTTATAGAAAATTTGATCTGAGCATGCTGCGTTCACACTTACGATCAAGTGGAAAGGCAGCCGAACGGGTAATCTAATCAATTCACCTCGTGATCCTGATGTATCTATGATCTATGTATGTATACTTTTAAAATTTATCACGCGCTCTGCCCGTTAAATTTTCAGAATACATAAATAGATCAGTAAATCAGGTCAAAAGAGCCTACGAATCTAGGTAATTGACAATAAATAATAAACAATAAATTTGTGACAATAGAATTTGAAAATGGTTAGGATATCGTTCTCACGCCGAAAGTGGCAGGATAATGACCTTGAGACACACGCATGAGAAAAGAGTTTCCCACGCTTTTAGTCCTTTTCAAGACTCTAACCTGCGAGCGCTGGGTATTTCAAAACACTGCCCAAACGTGAGAATCTTCTGATCCACCACCTGGCGGCCATCAGCATCTGTGATTGGCTGAGATGCAGCCGAACCTCTTTGAGACGCTCATAGAGAGCAAGAGTATAAATAGGGTAGGCACGTTAGAGAAAGCATCATAAACAGTTTGACTCCCGCACCGGTAACACTCACAACATTTACTCAAGACAACGCAATGTCGAAGATGTCAGCTATAAATAAACCACAACTCAACTTCAACAACTATAAGAAAAAGATTATGGTTTATTCCCACAAATCGAAAGTCTCGCCTACACGCCGACTAACGAATATAGTGAAGCCGTTGATCAGACATCTCTTCAAGATAAAGGCAAAGCAGCCAAAGCGAAGCTCCTATATCGCATCAGAGGAAAAGGAGGCAGAGTTCGACTGGCTAAACAACGACATGGATAATATGTCAAACGAGCATCTAGAGAACCGACTTATTGATGAGATCAGGCAGTGTGCCAAGGAGGACGCCATAATCGTATACGACGAAAACGGATCCGGCGAACTTCACACATTCGATCACGAGGACTACTATGTGCCCGTGCACTTCGCACGGACCAATGGCGGTACATTCTTCTGGACTTCATTTCAACCCAGCCACCAAGTGAAGCCCTATGACATTGAGTGGAACTTTCACGATCGTTGGGCACAGGCGTGAAGGACACGAATGTGATGCATCTGGGTTCTAGCATTTTCAAGTCTGGGTACGACTTAGTAGGTTGAAAAATCAAGACTTCGCCTGTCTTCGGGACCAAATTTTTGGGCTCTTTGATCTTGGACACATCAGGATCTTATCCGGAGTAGACAGATATATCCCTAGGGATACTCGAATTGCTTTGCATTTTAGATTGGACTTAAAATGTTTAAAGCGTCATCAGAATTCATTCACTATGGCACGACATATACAATTTGTACTTTTGCCAGCATTAAAGTATATAATTTGCATAGGACTGTACCGTGGACGAGGATTGTAATGTTGAAAAAATAAAGAAACAAAGCAATATAAATAAAATATAATATTTGAAAAAAAAAAGACCAAATCGCATTTATTATTATTTCATAGTTGTTTTTTTAGGCATTAATTTACAGTACTACATCATCGTCATCAAATATCTCGTTTAGCCAACAGCATTAACATAAAGCAACAGTAAAATTACTACGATTTAATAGTTCAAAGTTGCCCCTGCCTAATGAGTTTTGAAATTCTGAGTAAATCCTCATTTATCACAACGATACTAAATTGACTTTCTTTTATACTACTCAAATATAACATAAAACAGATTTAGGGACTTTACATTAAAATGTTTAAAAAATTGTAATGCATTTGGGTTTCCTTTACTATTTGAGTATATGTATATACGAAGCAAAAGTATATTGATTACAAGATGTTTCAAACAAAATAACAATTTCAAATATCAATACATTTATTTTTGTAACACTAAAAGCCGAACTACGTAAAATTGCATGGAAGACTTAAACGATGTTGCTGTTTCTTTTGACTATAGTAAATTGACTTAAAAAAGTCGACATATAAGCTATATACTATTTCAGAACTTATTTATAAAATGTAATTATATTATATTATAGTTTAACTACTGATTACATCATAGCTCTCTGTTTATACACACTGATTACTGTGTTGCTTAAACTATATTGCACTCTTCGCATCCACGTTCCGGTTATTAGCTGTCTTCTGCTTGCGTTAACAGCGAACTATATAACCCAAAAACTGTGTCCTTGAGTATGCGCGCCGAGCGCCTTAAAGCTCCATCCCATCACGCTAAGCCTTGAAGACATGTTGCCATTGTCGGTTGTCGCTGAATACTGATTTGTTGGGCAGAAATACGTCGGCCTTATATACAAGCCTCGGTGTAGGAACTCTCCCCCGAAGAACAACACATACATTGAGATAGGCAATATTCAAAACAAATCGTATATAAATGGACCTATCGTGAATGTGCTGAACGGGTTCTGTTATCAAAAAATATGTATGCACATAGACGAACAGAAGAATGCACCCATATAAGCTGTTTCTCTGTGTCTGCTTATACACACAAACGCACCCCATATACATACTTATGCACGCATACACACATATGCTCATTCATGCAGTTGTATTGGTCTTATCATTAAATTCTTGATTTTTATGTATACACTGACTTCCCCTTGACATCCAATATACCGATTGAGAATGAAAATTCTGGCTATATTGGCTCTTTGAAAATGTATGCCAAGCCCTACAAAATGCATAAGTATATTCTTAATACTTGATATATTTACATCATATCAAGTTCATTACAAATAATAAAGTACTATAACATATATGGACGTATACCATAATATAATAATATAACGATTTCTTTGTCATATTGCATATATAGAAAGTAGTAGTATTAGATGATATTAATGAAGACACTTGATCAGCCGGAGAAACATGCTCGGAGACAAACATACTTATTGATTGTTGATATGTTAATTTTGTTGCAAATTAGTCTAAATGCCAGCTTATATGTATGTATGTATATATGCACATGTATGTATGAGAGAATTGACAACAGGTTGAAGATCGTTCGATCTTAGGGTATCTCCTATATACATAAAGACTCCTTAATAGAACCGTCTGTACTTTATGGCAAAAGTATAATATTTACGCTCTGATTACTTCTGCTTTTTATTAGTAATCAATTATATAAAAAAACGATATGTTATAAGTGAATAATGAAACTACATTCAGTATTCAGTACAGAGGCGAAAGTTGCAGTTGCATTCAGAATAAGAAGTTGCAAACCGAATATGGTAACTGGGACTGGGCTTTGTCAAATACGTATCAATAATATTCCTATAATTCGATTTTCAATTATCTTATTGCAGGCAAATGCATTTCAAATGCTCTTAATCATTTCAGCTTTTCATTACAACAAACTGTTTGTAAATGTAATGGACACAATATTAGAAATGGATGTGGGGGAAATGAAAAAATATGAATATTGCGTTAAAGTAGTTGTTATTTGCTATACTGTACACGATAGTCCTACTGATAGTGACGGCGACTATGATAACTATATAAAGAAAAACGGTTGCATTAAAAAAGGCCTATCTGAAGAAGACAACACTACATATTGGGAATATGTTCATCAATGGCAACATGAAGTTGAGGAGATAATGTTGGATCTGAATATACTTACAATTTCCGAACAATATGATCAGGGAAATTGTATAAAAATCGATTTAGGCTTATATTTCCACATACCTAAAATAGTTGTATGCGATCGGAGGAAAATGTATGGGGATACGCTTACTCCTATCATAACAACCACAGCAACAACAACAACAACAACTACCACTACTATTTCAACAACCACAAAAACAACTACAACGACGACAACAACAACCACGGAGCCAACAACAACAGAAATCATTGAGCATGGACCGCAATGTAACGAGAGTGATCAAAAGGGAAAATGGATCAAGGAACAGACGGAGTTAGTTCGTAGATTGCCTACACTGGTCTCCAGACTTCCGAATGTCGAGGCAAAGCTAAATGTATTATTGAATCGGAATTGTTGTCCATATCCTATTATTCGGGATAGAGTCGAGATAATCAATGACATCGTCGACCTTTTAATACAATTATTCTGCGTTCCGTTTACTGAACGAGCGAAATCTACAGGCTATGCATTACTTGATATTGAGAATTTCATGACAAGGCTAGGCGAACTAAACCTACATGCACCTCAAAATAACCGTTTCAATTGCAGTTGCTGCAGCGACTGGCAAGTTGATGTTAAAGGTGTAATCGAAAGATTTAGGAAGACATTAATATCCATAGTTCCAGACTATGTTTCAATCATTTCCATACTTAATTCACTAAGTGGAAACCAAAATAATCTTGTGCAAAATTCAAAAATATCCGAAGAGCATCTCTCAGCGATCGCAAAGATAATCGATAATAATATTAATAATAATAAAGGCAAGTGTTGTAATATCACAAATAGCAACGTTTTACTGACCGATAAAATAGAATTAAAAGATTTCAATAATATTTCAAGTCAGCAACTGCACGAAACTCTTACGACCTTTGATGGATCCATAAAAAACACACAAAATTATATCCATAATGGGGAACTTAAAATTAAAGAATTTATTGCGTTTTGTGAAGGAAAGCGATTGGAAAACGAACAGAAAAAGATGCAAATGAATATCACAAAAAGAAATATAAATCAACTAGAAGAAAAAATTAAAAATTTTGAATTTCATGTGCAAAATTCACTCGATGATGCTTGGAAAGTCGAGTTGCAGTTTCATCAATCGATTGACAATGGGCAGCAAAATGTGGAGATCTTCAAGGCACAGCTAAAAAGTTTATTAAATGAGGCGCACCAAAGACAAATTGAGGCTCAGGAGAAAAGATCTAAATTTAATTTAATTAAAAAAAACGCTTTCACTGCCTGTTTAAAAAATATAGATGAGATGAGTTACTTGAGGCCACTGAACCTAGTCCTTAACCAGAGCTCCGTTTCATTCATAAATTGGCAGCAGAAATTAACAATTTCCCAAGAAATCGTAAGTGACAAATCGAAAAAGTTAAGAAATAAATTGAATGAAAAATTGGGGGAATGGGAATCGAGTGGGAAATTCCAATACAATTCAAGTGCAAACAACCAATTTACTATCGTTATTGATGCTATGCAAAGTGAATTAACGGAGCTATACAATAATATTATAACTGTTAGCAGATCAGAAGATGCAGAGTCCAAGAAGATTAGCAGCCTCTTGGTCAAAATGGAGGAAATGCTCGCAAAAGAGTGGAGCAATATGGAACAGAATGATGTCCTCGATGCTAAAATCAAAAAATTTACTGAACAAATGTTATACGATTTCGAAAAAAAATTAAATGCATCATCTATGGGAGCGTTCAATGAGCAATATAGTAAGTTGGGATATTTAGAAACCAACTTCAGTGACATCAGAAATACAATGATTTTTATGGAAAATGACATGCTAAAGAAAGTTATAAACATACAGAGTATTTTTCAAAAGCTTAACGAGAAGCTAGTTGTTGCTATCACTGGGGCCAATAAATGTGTGTCGGATTGTGATTGGGGGGATATGCCATCTTTAGATAGCCTAGAGGCACGTATTGAGGCACTAGAAGAAAAATTAAATGTTTAATTACTTAAAAGAGTCAAGCGAAAATAATAAAGCTGCAAAACAAATGGAAAATTTTCATATGTTTGTAATATTTTATTGATTTTTTGTTAAAGTATATTTGACACTTTGTTTTTAATCAAATTTCGTTATACGAAGGTGTTGGTTTAACATTATTCATTTAAGGTAACAGGACACGCTAGTCCCTTTCTACTTAAACATAATCATATATATACTGCGAATTGATTTGTATGAAAGTATCAAAAGTATGAGGGGAAACACTTATATAACAAGTCCCATTAAAAATACCTTAACTTAACTTAAGAATGCATCTTAAAATTTTAACTAATTTCTACTGAGTATGAAAAATATTGTGTGGGTAAATGGAAACATCTATTTAAAATGCTAAAATGAAGCTTATCTGCTCTAGCAGATGCTAATTCCACCTTAGCTTTAATATGCAACTCCGCAGTAGATTTTTAATTTTTTAATATTAATTTTTAATATTTTAATATATTTTTATCATCAAATAGAAATAGTCTCAACCAAGCATACATCAATTGGGATCACAACGTAAAATGCTTAAGTTCAATGATATACACAAAAATTAAACTTTGCTGATCATGTCATAAAAAATCTAATTCGAACCTTGTATCCATTAATAAACGGATCGCCGAGGCTTAGAAAATAAAATGTACCTATTCAGATAAAATTCTTTGGGTCCCGGAGCGGGCTAATATTGCAAATGTCCACATAAACAAATTTTGTTAAGAATTTTCTTATTTTTTGTTCGTTACAAATTTTTAAAAATACCGCCCAGACTCAAGCAAATTTAGGTAATATTCACTTCGCACAAGTTGGCAGGTCCGATAACAGAAACAGCTGAGCGTGCCAACACGTGCATTAGTGTGCATTACTTGTATATAGCTTTCTTTATTATTGAAGCGTGTAAAGGACGAGCAAATAAATCTTACAAAATGCGTCAAAATACGCCACCACATCGTCCCGACTTCGATTACGAAAATGACGAGTTTCTGGAGGAAATCGAACTAGATGGCGATCCACCGGTAGATGATGATGATGAACTGGAAATGGAGGAGGTGACTTTGTCGCAGTTAGAGGCTCGTTTGGGAATGCACAGCGATTCAGACGACGCAATGGATGGCAATGAAGACGAAGAGGAGGAAAATCGCATTGCAGCCATCAGGGATGATGCATTGATTACTTTTAGGAAGCACACAGCCCCCGTCTTTGGTTGTCATCTGCACCCGCGACTCGATTGGGCTGTGACTGGCAGCGAGGACGATCGTGCCTATGTGTGGGACACCAATAACGGCGAGGTGTTGTTCGAGATAACTGATCATAAGGACACGGTCACTGAAACGCATTTCAGTCACGACGGTTGCTATTTGGCGACTGGCGACATATCAGGCGAGCTGTTTGTATTCAAAGTGAACGAATCACAAGACGATCGCCCCATTCTGTACAAGGTTTGGGAGTACTCCATGTTCGATATGGCCTGGATGTTCTGGCATCGTGCCGCTAACGTGCTCCTAGCCGGCGGCGATAGCGGCGAGGTGTACGTCTGGCGTATACCCAGCGGCGAGTGCAAAATTCTGCCTGGACACTCAGCGCGCTGCGAAGCAGGTGATTTAAGTGGCGATGGCAAGAAGCTACTCACTGCCTATACTGATGGCGTAGTCAAGCTGTGGGATCTAAAAACTTGCCAGGTGCTGATGGAGGTCAACAATCAACATCCACTTGGCTTTGGAGAAGTCAGCCATATCGTGGTCGCCTGTGAGCAGAACTCGCCATTCTACTTATGTGCTGAGGGTGGTGGTTAGTATCTCAAGTTCTCAAATCCTTATCCGTACATGGTTAATAAAATCAATACCAAAAACTCGGACTTTCTAGGCAAATTACTCTTCTGCACTAACAATGGACCGGTGAATGTTATACAGTCCGAGCATCTAATCGAATGCATCGCATTTGCGCCTTCGACAGCAGATCTTAAGCTTTTGGCATGTGGCTCGTTGGAGGGGCAAATTTCCATTTGGGACTACTCAAAATACGCCCTTCGCACGGTCTGCGAAAGCCCTGTGCCATTTGATGGAATTCTTCGGTACATTTTTGAGCATATACATATAAACATTATTAATACAACTAATTATTTCAGACTCAAATGGCTAAATGATTATACTTTGCTGGCGGCCACCGCACAGGGAAAACTGAATGCGTTTGATGCTCGCACTGGCTCGCTTAAATTTACACTGACTGGCCACTTATATCATATATATGAATGCGCTTTTAAATGGGAGGAAAATTGTTTATTGACCGTTTCGGAGGACAATACAGCCAAGGTTTTTAAGCTACCACCTTTGGGTGAATAGATATTAGTTCAAAGGTGTCGACTACAATAAGTAATTATTCAATAAGATTTTTTGTATATACAATAGATATTTATGGAAGTGTGCTTTGAGCGCAGCAGCAGCAGAATTACAAATGCATTGTCTTAATCTCAATGAAGAGCGGCTGGTGTTTTCTTAGTTTTGAGACGCGATTTTAGCACCGTGACGTACCTTTATGGCAAAAATATTTGTGTATCTACTACTATCGTACTATAGATGCACATTTTGACTGCACTTTTCGGGCGAATTGTGCTCTCCAGTTATGCACATGCGTGCAACAGTTTAGAGAGCGGCTTGCTGTAGAGAAGAGCTGCAGAGTGCACCCACAGATAGCGACGCGAAATGGTAATATATGTTGAAAAGAGCTTATCTGTATTATGTATGTGTGATTGTCTACAGTTCCTGCTCCACACAATCACAATAAACGAACATAAATCCACCCGCACAATTGTATACAATTGTCTAACATTTTGTGGATTATTATTATTTTTTTTATTATTATATTAAAGCTTTTCGTATTTTATTCTCCCAGTGCAGTGTTTCTGTCATTGTGCATCAGACGGCAAAAAAAAATTACTTTCAGTTCCATTCGGAATTTCGAACCGTGCGTTACGCTAGTCGAAACGGAGTGGCAAACAAATTCATGTGTATTATAGGTATGTATATTAACCTATAATACACATGGTGCTCTACCCTCTCCGAACTTTCACTCTTGATAAGGGTAAGGGTAACTAGCCGAACTCTCGTAGAACAAGGACTTAATCTCAGTGGACCACATGGCTGCAAATGCAAACGGGAAAAATTCTATTAAAATAATTCTGAATACGAAATCCACCATTAACACAAATTTCTCACAGATAAAATGAGAGATTAATGAAAATTGCATATGGAAGTAATCCATCATATTTTTATATACTTTTTGTTTTTATATTTGGTTATGAGAGCAGGGCGCAAAACTAAAAACATGAATAACAAACAATAAAAGTCGAAACCACAGTTAATCAACGACAAAAACAACCCACAGTATGTGCACCCACACAACCACACACACATGGCAGACTGTTCCTGTATGGCATGCGTGTGTCTCATTGGCGACTTTTACAATTAGATTACCAGTTCTCCAGCAACAACAACAACCATCGTCGCCATCTATAACATTATAGTTGGCAATCAAAATCACAGGCACTATGTAAAAGCAGGCGCTACGTTTCGTGCAGCACAGTTCATAGTAGCTGACAAATATATGTCGACGTCTTTAATAATTATTTATATTTCCTTTTTTTTGTTTTTGTTTTTTATCAACATTTGGTTTTTCGTCACAATAACGATCAGTCGAATTAGGCAAGTGATAATGGCTTTTATACCCATCAGTAAATGAATATTGTATAATAATTAAACATTATCGTAGTATATAAATAATGAAGTCCGAAATACTGAATATATCCAATTGAGTGTATAAATGTAAAGCATTTAAATTTTGAAAGTATACATATAATTGTCAACTACTGTATAAGTACACACATGCATATACATAGAATATATGTATGTTCATACTAACGTATAACAATCTCCACTAAAAGTTCATTGGGATTACGATCAGCGCAAAATTGAATTATCACAGTTGGAAATGTCATATACACGCGCCTAGTGATCCCCACAAGCAGCAATCAGCGATTTAGTTTTGAATACATATAAATGTGAATGTATAATTTATAGAACTGATGTGTTTTAGTTGATAATGCTCAAATATGTTTATATGAATGTATAATATAACACAAATAATTATATGTTTTTTATTACATATATAATAATCACTTACACACAAGTATTAAAACTTTATGTTTTAATATATTTGGAATAGAGTGAAATAGAAGCTTGCTTTATACATATTTGTTCAAAAGTTTCGGTTGTTAACAAATATAATAATATAAGAATCTGTATATAGATTCTTGTGAATGGTATTTTACAATAATTTAAGAGTTTAGGCTAAGGAATAGGCCTTTTCTGCTTAGATATTTATTTACATATATGATATATGGCATATGCAATAACATAATTATTTGGGGGGGGAAAAAAAAAAACAAAGAAATAAAAAACCCCAATATATTAATCATATTTTAAGTGTAATTTGAAGATATGATGAGCTTCCCTAAAATTAAGTTCTAGTATTAAATTCAAAGTTGTTGTCAGATATCCAACAAATATCAGTTAAAGACGTTGTTTTAGGAACATCTTTACTAACGACCTCTGTGGAAATAGAACAGATTCAAAAGCATAAGATGTACTTATGCTATATCTATAATCACGTTCTACACGTTCTTCTATGCAGCAATCAAATAGTTTTGACTTTACAGAAAACTTTAGTAAAAAATTATGTCATTTGGTTATTTTAATTTTTCAATTTTTTCATTTTTATGAGATTGCCTGGATATAGTTAAATTTGTAATGTCGAAAATTACGCCTTGACCCACGCTAGAGCATCGTATTTTACTTCCCAAAATCAGCTGCATATCGTAACACAAGCCCATAGTTCCTTTTAATAAACGTGCTAAGTTTTACTTTATATAATGATGCTACAACCGCAGAGAATAGATTGATTATCAAAATTTTAGTCAATTAAATAAGTCAAAGCAGACGTACTTTCTGAAACCGACTGCGTACTGCTCT